ATTAATTTTAACTCGCATTCAGAGCCGCTGGTGTACAATCAGGTGAATTATGTGATTCGCAGTCGAAGACTTTTTGTATCAAGACTGTTTATTGATAAAAACATGGACAAAGAATGAGAGGGAAAATTCCAATGAAAATTTACAGCAACAATCTATGGGATGATCTTCAGTCATATTTAATAGATCAGTCAAAAGTATATGCTGTTCAATAAATAAAATGTCCAAAGTATAAAACTATCTGTTAACATATCCGTTTACTTCTTTCAGCAAACATATCTGGAGCTCATTCTTCTGCTCAGTTCAGACTGTAGGTGTGATTTTGCCTCTTGCATCTGCTGGTCTCGTGTAGTGTCTTCCGCCCGGTTCTGCTTAATTCTTGTAGATCTTATATCATAAACAAGAAAAGCAACAGCAGCCACACTAACAAGAGCAGCGACCACCAAACGGATCACAATTTCAGGGAAACCACAACAGTGGATGTGGTCTGAAAAAAACAAAAAAAAACAACAAAACACTTATGAGCCTTTTTTAAGACTTGTAGTGCTAATTAACTGTGCATGCTTGAGTTTAATTACATTAAATACTTTTATTTGCTTGACCCTAAGACTGTAAAACTGTTGCACTCAAAAATACTTTTACAGGCTTCAGTGAATCTTTAACCACAGCTCTTAAGAATAGGTGCCTGCTTGATGCCTCTGTTAAACATCTGTGGTTTGTTAGTTTTTTTCAGAGTAAACACACACAAACCAAAAAAAAGCATTATCTGATCAAACACAAAGTGGCTGTGAGTAAAATTCATTGCATAAATGTAATAGAATAAATTACATAAAAGTAAAGAAAAAGAATGCTGCAGTTCATTATTTTTTTTAATAAATATTCTTGTGGTGTTTTTTTATTTCACACCACCTGCAGTCGCACAAAGCATTACCGATGTGTTTGGTCACATTTGCACAAGTGTGGTTTCAGTTTGACTTTAAGAGTGAAGAGTTAAAGCTTTACAAATACAGACTTTAAAAATTTAACAGAGATGTGTCATTATTACATGCAGCATGCATACCTGAACTTGACTGATTGAGATCTGTAATGTTGGCGTCCTCAGTCTGGTTGATGGTTGAATTATTCACTGCATACGGAGATGACCAAAAGTTTGAGTTTGATGAACTTTCTGGAGATGAAGTACTTTGAGGAGCCACTGTTAATGACAGATTTTACAGTTCACTTCTGACATGTATTTACAATACACTCATAATTTAAATGGATTTAAAAGTTAAAGATATCATAAAATATGGATTTATGGAATATTATAGAAAGAAACCTCACCAAAGACTTTAACATTAAAACTTCTGTAGCTGGTTTCTCTTCTGGTAATAGTCAGTTTATAAAGTCCTGAATCAGTGATTCTGGTGTTTGTGATGGTCAGAGATCCAATTTCATCCAGATACAGTCTATCTCTGAATCTCCCATCTGGACCATCATATGTGGAGTTGCTTTGTGCAAGTCTGTTGACTTCAGCTATTCGAGAGTTTCCGAACATCCACTGAATCAACAAATATTTTTGTACTTCAGTAACATCAGTGTGTAGAGTGACAGAATCCCCCTCCATCACCGATACTGACTTAATTTCATCTGTAGCATCTACATAAAAAAGAATATTATTTATAATACAAAAAAATTAACGAAAGTAACATTTTTATATTTAGAAGTCATTTAACAGAATAGAAAAGACTGGATTATACTGATTTAAAACGAATATCTTATTTTAGTTAATCAAAACTTATTTTGAATGATGAATGTTTACAAAGTTATTAAAGAGAGGAACAAAGAAGTATTTAATGGCTACCTCCATGACATAATGAAAACATAAATGCATAGAAAAATAAACTTTACTTACCAATCAGATGACAAAAGTTCATAAAGAACAAAAGAGAAGCAATTATCATATTCCTTGACAACTTGTCACCCCCTTTAACCATGCAGTAAATGATAAAAAAAAGTCCCCCTCACATCATGTATAGCTAGTGCAAAACAATAGGCGTTTCCACTGCTGGCTGCAGTAGACCTCTTAAAGGGACAGTTCACCCAAAATGTAATCACCCATCATTTACTCACATTAAATATATGTTCACTGGCTATACTAGGTCACCAATATAGTCCACTAGGCTTTGTGATACCATCAAGGAAAAGCTAATAGGTCACTTTCCAAAACCTTTTCATTTAATGTTCTTAGCTGGTGAAAGGATCTTCCCATTCTCATGGACTGCTGATTCAGTATCATTCGAATGACAACTAAAAATCTCTCTCTTTCATGATCACCTAAACCCCTATGAACACGACCTCTTCCACTCCTCCCCCAACACACCACATGACAACCTCAAAAAAACGTTATGTAACTCAGAGCATGCCTCACACAAGTGAGTGGGCTTGACAAACCACCTGTAGAAAACACACTCTTTCATCTCTCTGACACTTTGACTGACACTTACACCAAACACATTTTTACAATCACTCCATACCTCTCTAAAAAACATTGCGCATTTATGAAGTGTGCTTCTCACAGGTGAGTAGGCTTGAAAAACCACCTGTACAAACACTCTTCTCTCTCTCTAAAACAAAAACAAAAAACATTCCCTCTCTTATTACTAAACCACTAAATTGTCTGAGCACATACAGATCCTTTGTATAATTAGCTCTTCTTGTGTGTATTGCCTCTTCTTGTTGAATCTCTGAATGCTTCTTCAACTGTAAGTTGCTTTGGATAAAAGCATCTACTATATGATGTGAATGGAGTGCATGAAAATGAGTAAGCTGGAGCTCTCAGTGTAACGGACATCATCTTTCTCAGATTGTTGGAATATCAAGCCAATTCCAAATGTGTTCATTAAAAAAGATCAGGAAAGGGTTTTCTTCAATGCCAAAAATATTAGTAATTTAATAGATACAAATTAATATTCGATGACAGAGCTCTGGGTTACGTTACCCCAATGCTACACTCAGGAGGTTCGCAACTAACATACATTTCCCTGACTCCAGTATATATACACAACTGATATTAACAGGTGTAGTTTTGTCACTTACAGTATCAGTCATTCTGCAGTCCTTTAAGTGTTGCACCCAGACATACGTCCTCTTTTCTGCAACCCTTCTCTGCTGAATAATTAAGTGCATCTTCAATATATTTCACGACTTCTACAAGCATCATGCTTCTTGTGACATGTCTAGACTTCTTATTAGACAGCAGTGATGGTAAATTTATTCTTATTCTGCTATTTCCCTCTTGTCAGCAGTTCTTTCTAAAAGGTATGTAGCACAGTAAAAAAGATTAAGTGTGTCTGGGTAATATATGGTATTGTACAATTGAAAAACCTTGATTAATCTGTTGTTAGTCTAAACATTTTCTAATTAAAAATAAAGACACAACTAATTAAAATAAATTCCTTTTTCTTCACAAACAAAGGGTAATGTAAAATGAAATGATAATTTACTTACACTCATTTACACTTATAGGATTCTGCTGTGGATGCCATCTTGTGGAAAGATGAGGAAATTCAATCACTGCACAATCTCTCACAATGCATTATGGGCATTGTCTAGCCATTATGTACACTAGTTACTGTGGTGCACTATACTGCACTATTTAAGGGTATAGGGCTCGATTTCGGATACAGCACTCAGCTCAATTTTAACTGACTTGACTTCTAATCTGACACTATTTTAGTGGCAACTTGATAGATTTTACATGTTTATGGAAGTTAGTATGTTAATCATTATTGCAAAAATGTTCATTATGCATATGTTAATTAATTGAAAAAATGAAGTATTAACCTCTCTGTGGTTTTAAAGGGGACTTATTGTGCAAAAATCACTTTTATAAGGGGTTTAAACACAGTTGTGTGGCAACAGTCTGTGAATATAACCAGCATTTTTTTTTAAACATTTTTTTTTATAAACAAACTTCATAAAAACAGCCTGCAGAAACACTTTGACATTCCCCCTAGTACATTTGTCATCAGCCTAACCTCTCACTCATTAGCATAGGACGTTAGTCTTGTTTTTGAATCTGCCACTATGCTGACACATAGGCCATTGTAGCTCCGCCCTCTTTTGAAAAGAGCACAATCTCATTTGAATTTAAAGTGTCAGGCATCAAATGACACAATTAGGGTCAAAGCTTAAAAGGGGCAGTTTCAGAGTTATAAAACAATGTGTGTGGGGTTTTTCGAGCTGAAGTTCACATACACACTCTAGAGACTCTAGAAATCATAGAATTATTTTACATCTTATAAACTGAGGCATATTAGAACCCCTTTAAAACTAGGATAGCAATAATAAATGTAGATGTGTATTTGTTTCCTGTGCTGAATTTGCTTCACTATGAGTATTGTTTAAATCTGATTTTTCTAATGCCTGTTCATCTATGTAAAGATTGCAGTTTTCTCAGAGACCACTAATTTTTTTTTTCTTCTGGGTAAAAGACCAACAGAATTTGATTGATTATTTTATTTTAACAAACCACTTAAATACTCATGAGGACAGGCCTATGTAAAAATTGACACTGAAACATTCAAATGAGACATCCATACTTACAGTGTTTAGTTCCAAAGTCTCCAAAATACCAGCGAGAGCTCCATCTAGTGGCTTTAAGTGTTAATAGGTAACTAAAATTAGCTGATTTATTGAAAATCCTAGAAATAAGGATTGTTGCATTTAAAGGATTGTTGCATTTAAATAAATGCATTTGTTCCTTCCCAGTCTTTGGTTTAGAAGCTGGACTCTTTTAAAAGCAATTTATCTATCAAACAATCTTCAGATTAGTCCACAATGTGTAAATGTGAATATTCTCATACATGTCAACTCACAATCAGAGCCGCTGGTGTTTAATCAGATGAATATTGTGATTTACAGTCAAAGGATCTTTGTATCAAGACTGTTTAATGATGATATAAACATGGATAGAGAATGAGAGGAAAAGGAAATTCCATTAAAATTCACAGCAACAGTTTATGAGATGATCTTCAGTCATATTTAATAGATCATTTAAAATTCTGCACAGTAAATAAATTTTCCAATGTGTAATACTATGTGTAAATATATCGATTTATTTTGTCAAGAATATGCCAGTAACATTCAGCAAACATATCTGGAGCTCATTCTTTTGCTGGGTTCATAGCGCTGGTGTGATTTTGCTTTATGCATCTGCTGGTGTCGTCTAGTCTCCTCCACCCGGTTCAGCTCGTTTCTTGTAGATCTTATATCATATATAAGAAAAGCAACAGCAGCCACACTAACAAGAGCAGAGACGACCAAACGGATCACAATTTCAGGGAAACCACAACAGTGGATGTGGCCTGAAATAACAAACGCTGAGTTAGAATAATACTTATGAGCCCTTTTAATACAGATTTGTAGATTTTGAATTAATCCATTTATGTTAACTGAATTTCTGAAAATTTGGAAAGCATTCAAGATTAACTGTGCTTGCTTGGTTATATTTAGAGCTACTTTTTTTTGCTTTGCCCTTAGACTACTTAAGAACAACTCTTTAACCACAGCTCTTAAGAATAGGTGCCTGCTATTGTTGCACAGCTGCGGTTTGTTCTTTGTTTCAGAGAAAACACAAAAGAAAAAAAAAGCATCCTGGTGCACAAACAGACACACAATCTCTGTTTACACATTAGCTGATCAAATACAAACTTTGCATGCTGTGGATAAATTTAAAACAATCTGTCAATTGCATAAATGTAAAGAAAATGCTGCAACTTTGATTGTTTTTTTGTGTGTGTGTGGTGTTTTTTCACACCATCAGAAGTGACACAGAGCATCAGCAATGTGTTGGGTCACACGTGTGTGGTTTCAGCTTGACTTTCAAGTTTATCTTTTAAAGCTTTACAAATACAGACTTGTGTTGTTGTGTCACAATTATAACATATGCCATACCTGAACTTGACTGGTCGAGATCTGTAATGTCATCTGTAATGGCATCTTCAGTCGGGTTGATGGTTGAATTATTCACTGTATATGGAGACGACAAATATTTCAAGTTTGATGAACTTTCTGGAGATGAAGTACTTTGAGGAGCCACTGTTAATGACAGATGTTACAGTTCATTTCTAACATGTATTTACAGAACACTCATAATTTAAGTGGATTTAAAAGCCACAGATATAATAAAATATGGATTTATGAAATATTTTAGGAAGAAACCTCACCAAAGACTGTAACATTAAAGCTCCTGTAGCTGGTTTGGCTTCTGATAAGTGTCAGTTTATAAAGTCCTGAATCAGTGATTCTGGTCTTTGTGATGGTCAGAGATCCAATCTCATCCAGATACAGTCTATCTCTGAATCTTCCATCTGGACCATCATATGTGGAGTTGGTTTGTGTGAGTTTGCTGGCTTCAGCTATTCGAGAGTTTCCGAACATCCACTGAATCAAAAAGTATTTCTGTACTTCAGTAACATCAGTGTGTAGAGTGACAGAATCTCCCTCCATCACCGATACTGACTTTATTTCATCTGTCACATCTGCAGATAAAAGAACATCATTTTTAACAGACTAAAATGCAAATTAATGAAGAAACAAATTGCTTTAAAGATGAATAACAGGTATATGAAAAGTTTAATATAGACATTTGATTTGATTTCACAGATATAAAAATATATATCATATGTGTACAGACATAGAACATATATTAAAAATAAAGCAAGCTTTTTATATGCGATGTTTTTAACAATTTAATTACAAATATGCACACACGTGTGTGTGCATATATTATAGAAACTATCTGATTTTTGTATACGAGCAATCATTTTTATTAGATAAAAATAAAAATGTATGTCAATTACACTAATAATAAAAATATATTTTAATAATTGTTTACACATGTTAAAAAATAACAACAACAAAACGGCTACACCACAACTGTAAACAATAAAAAGACGAGAAATTGGTCAAACATTTATGAGAACATTGTAATACAATGAATTCATTATTTTTTAAAATGTCTTGAAACGTCACACTCCCAACTTACCAACCAGATGCCACAAGCTCACAAGAACAAAATAAAAACGTTAACCATATTCCCTGCCTGTTTGCTTTTGTATATAAGTTCGACTGCAACAAAATGGCAATCTACAGTAACTAGGCTTTTTTTTTTTGGCAAACTAGTAGGCGTTCCCAATCTGCGTCGCGCAAGTTATCCAATGTTATCAAACAAAGTTATTTACTGTTATCCAGTAAAGTAGTCCAAGGTTATGTCTATCAATAAGAAAACATCGTTTAATAAAAGATTGAGTATTGTACATACATGGCAATAAGTGCATGAAATGGACAAGTAAACGAACAGAGGATCCACGTACTTTAGAATTCTTGTCAAAGGACTCAATGGGCGCGGCTGTTGAGATGCTTCCTGTTCGTGACTTAAAATGTAAACAACGAACCCCAGATAGCAAATTACATCTGGCCCAGATATGGCCCACATCCCCCATTTTCTTCTGGCCCACATACCGCGCGGAATGACGGCGATGACTCAACCTGATTGTGGCTGACATAAGGATCCAAAAGTCAGCCACAACTGAACCAGATCTGGGCCATATCTCAGAAAAAGCATGGTCCATATCTGGGCCAGATGTGGCCCATACATTTTCTCAGATCTGGCCCAGCTGCGGCCCATGCACATTCTCAAATCTGGCCCAGCTGCGGCCCATGCACTTTCTCAGATCTGGCCCACATGCAGCCCATGCAGTTTCTCAGATCTGGCCCAGATGCGGCCCATGCAATTTCACAGATCTGGCCCAGATCTGGTTCAGTTGCGGCTGACTTTTGGGTTAGATGTGGCGCACATCTACATTTGGTAGCTATATAAATCACACTAAAAGGAATGCTTAGTTTAAATTGCTTTATTTTAAAAAATGCTTTAAAGGAAGCATATAAATTGATAAATACAAATATATAATTTATATAAATTATATAAATAGATGCATACAAACAACAACAACAACAACAACAACAGATTGATCAATGCAATACAAATAAATATATGAATTAGATAAAAAAATGCATAAAGAATTATCACAAATTAAATGCAAATAAATATATATAAAAGTTAAAATTAGGTAAGTGGATATACAGAATAAGAAGAACATACAAACACAAATGTATATACAAATTAGATAAATACAGAATAAACACAGAAAATATATATATATTTTTTTATAAAATGCATATTAATTAAATGAACAAATATTTTATAACCATATAGCCAGAACCAATAATTAAAAAGATATATAAAGGGCAATCCAAAAACAAGATCAGAGGCGAGGCAGGGGTCAAATAAACAAATGATAATTACAGAAACAAGATAAACAAGTATGAGTAGACAGAACAAACACAGAAATCGCATATTTAACAAAAACATATTACTTAAATAATTACAACTAAATATTTATTAGCATTTACCCAGAACCAAAAAAAAAAAATTAATTAAATTAAATAAACTGAAAATCCAACAGGGCAGTCCAAGAGTGAGGTCAGGGTCGAGCAAGGGTCAAAGCCAAAAAAAAAAACAATCCAATGCAAAACATCCTGAAAATAGGAGAAGACAACAATTAAAAGGTGCTGTTTGCAGAGTACATACAGGCACAACTCGATTAGACTTTTAAGCACTTTTTTAAGCACCTATTTTTATTTTTAAGACTGACAAGCAACGTATTGAACACCTGAAATGTATTCTCAGCAATACATAAAAACATTCCATAGGAACTATCTATCGATTTATAAAAATAATAATAATAATAATATTAATATAATATTTCATAGTATTAAACCTATTTTAAATGTGCTTGTGAAATTATTGTTTTTTTATGTTTTCGTAGATGGAAAGAGAACTGAAAATTAAATTACATTAAATTAAAGGACTAGAAATACTATTACATTGCTAAAATAAAACAAATTTTAGTAAATAATACTAATACAGAGTAAAAGTACATGGTACTATTTTAATTAGTTACATTTGAAAAAAAAAAATCGGATTTTCATTATGGACCTTTTTTTAAGTGTAAACTTGTTTGAATGGTTTAATTGTTTAATTACAAGACTACATAAAGAGAAATTTGCACTAACAAAGGAAGTTTATTTTAAGGAAATATATTTTCAAGCTTAGGAAGGTTTTACGTATATGATGAAAAGATGTAAAAATTCAAAATGTAGCCTTTTATTTACACATTTTACACGGTTTTTCTTGTTTGCTCATTCTGTGTCTGCCTTTACAATCTGGCAAATTTGTTGCTTAAATAACTTTTATAATACTTGGATTTTTTTTTACATATTTATAAAGAAATGACTTTACAAAAAATATATATTTTAAAAATAATAAAACAAATGACTTCATTTCATTTGAGGTATTTGAAATATTTCTTTACATTTTCTACATTTTTCAAAGCAGTGTTTTAAGAGCCTTATTGTTTATTTTGATAAATGTAATAACAGATTGCTTTGACCTGTAATGCCTGTACAATTTAGTGACGCTTTAAGACAGACTATGTATAAATCATACAAATACCTCATTCAAAAATGTTTCCAGCATACCAACCCTGTGACGTCAGACACAGCAATATTACAAGATGGGGGTGCCTTTGTGCTAAAAGCTTTAGTAAAACATGCCCTTTTCATCAAAATTGTTACATTAATCAAGTTTGGTTAATATATTTTTATTAAATCGGAAAGCAATTTACGAAATAATGTAAACTTGATTGACTGCATCACTTCTACTACAAGACACTGGGAAGAATTTTTGCTAGGAAGATCTGACACTCAAAGTTTACTCCATCAATTCATAGTCTGAAATCTTGGTAATTAGTGAAAGTACCTTTGAACTGACCGCAGATCTTGATGTAGTCTTTCTTGATCTGGTCTTCTCCACTTTCGATCCTTCCCTGGGTTCATCTTTACAAGGAACCTGCTGAATGGAAAAAAAATACTTAGTGATAAAAACCTGGACTATATCATGCTCTAAAATGTTTGAAATAAAAGCAGCGTAACAAGACAAGCTAGTGGTGGAGGTTTGCTAGAAAAATCTGTGAGAGAGGATGTTTTGTGTGAGTCAGACTGAGACAGACTGTTGTATGAATGTGTGTTTTTGAGTGTATGAATGTGAGAATGCATTCACAGTGTGTGTTAGTTTGAGGATTTTGCTATTTTAAATATTAGGGTCCAACAGAGTAATTTGTTTAGTTAAGTTGTTTAAAAATATTTTCATTGATTAAATACTTGCCCATATATAGATGTAAAGAATAACCAAAAGAAATAATGTATTAAAATGTCATTATATTTTATATTCAATCTGCTAATCATTTATTGTGAAATTTGAATGACTTCCATTCAGTATATGAATAAAATAAAATTAGAATAGGAATAAAACAATAGAACTCTATAAAAAAATACTTCCTATCAAAATAAAGCAGGTGCTTTTACCTAAAGAAACTTTATTAGTATGGTTCCCTGCTTCCAGTTAGTTCAACTTCAGATACCTCCATAATCTGTACTCTGGTGATTCATTTGGTTCTTGACTTAAGAGTAACTGGTGTCGCATTCCCGGTCCATCACAATCTGAGCTAGAAGGACAATATGACAAAAGACAATACAAATATGAATACACATAACATACAGGATAAAACATTTAAAGATATAGTTTACTATTCTGCCGCCATTTATTCATCCTCTACTTGTTTCAAAGCAGTTTAAATCTGTTCAACACTAAAGCAGATATTTTGAAGAATGTTAGAAACCTGTAACTATTGATATACATAGTAGGAAAAACTGGGTTTGTGTTCATTCATTTTCTTTTCAGCTTCATCCCTTTATTAATCTGGGGTCACCACAGTGGAATGAACAGCCAACTTATCCAGCATATGTTTTATGCAGCAGATACTCTTCCAGCTGCAACACATCACTGGGAAAAACCTATACACTCTCATTTACACACATTCACTATAGACAATTTAGCTTACCCAATTCACCTGTACCGCATGTCTTGTGGGGGAAACCGGAGCACCCGGAGGAGACCCACGCCAACACGTGGAGAACATACAAACTTCACACAGAAATGCCAACTGACCCAGCCGATGCTCGAACCAGAAACATTTTTGCTGGGAGGCAACAGAGCTATCCACTGTACCACCGCACCGTCTGAGTTTATGTTCAACAGAACAAAAAAAATATTTTGAAACAAGTGGAGGATAAAAGATGACATTATTTTTGGGTGAACTATCCCTTTAAAATTCAAGTGTCAAGCATTAGTCTTAAAAACGTATGTATCACTACAGGAAAAATAAATCAAGTACCTCTTGTGAACAAGCAAAATCGTTATGCCATTGTTTTCAATGGTTTTCTTTTACATTTTTCACAGTGAAATTATAACTTAAACATGCGATCCAAGGTAAATTAATCTACTTTTGACATAAAATAAAAAGTTAAGATAAAAATAAAAGTTACGTCAACAGACTCTGTTTTTTCAGCTCACCAATACTTTCAAATTTTACATTTTTCAGAAAACAATTCAATAAGGTACCTTGTGGAAACATTTAGACTTTCTTTCAAATTAGATTTTTTTTAATAATAGATTTTTTAAATAAACTATGACCTCACACAGTGATAAAATATCAGCAATACATCTTGTAATATTTTAATAATTAATAAAACATAAAATATATTATTTCAGTACCCAACAACCAGTCTGACATATACAAGTTACAAAATATGTACAATATTTTACCTGATGTGCTTGATGATGAAGTCAAACAATTAGTAATGCACTGATGTAAGAGTTGTCCTTTCCTTCAGCTTGCATCCTTTCATGATTCCTTTCTTTTCTGTAACAAATTAATACAATACGATCAATTTATAAAAATATAATTTTTACTTGCCACAAAACCATTTGTTTGGACTTGATACGTATGTACAAGATTAATGGTGCAATTCAGTTTCCAGGCTGTTTTGATGTAATATAAAACATAAGATATGGATTTTAAGCTTATTTAACACAATTGATTTTATTTTTTAACAAGGTTTAATATTTCATAACACACTTAGCCTTCTTTTTTAGCTAATTAATTTCCTTCATAAGTCATTTAACACATCATGTTTCAACTGTGGATTTTTTTTCAAACGTTTTGGCTTTAAAATTTTTTTTAATGCAGACCAGTCTCAACAGTGGCCAGCATGAACCACATAACGTTACTCTGCAAACTTTTGCTGAAACTTGATAAAACACACATTAACAAGCAAATCAAGATCATTAGGATTAACGTTACCAAAAAGAGACTGTTCGTTCAGTGTTTGAGCTTAAAACCAGAACAAAAGCAGAACTCGGCACCTATTACAACTGTATAAAACGGACAGCATATGATTCATTCATTCAAGCTCCCGTTTCGACGCTGTTCTTCATAACACGTCTTATTGATCATTTAATTGTAACTTAAATGAATTAGTTAAAACCCCGAGCACAATCAATTTAACAGATTACTGAACTGACGGCGGCCATCATTCTTAGCCGTTTTTAGCCATATTATCCACATATAAGTTACAGTTTTATCACTATTCAAAACAGGGGCTTTTCTAACAAATAAAAACATTACCTGACGACAAATATCTCACAAATATGATTTTAAAATAATAACTTACCCGATATAAAGAAGAAGATGAAATGGCGGACTTGACTTGACTTCCTCGTTTGAAAAAAATAACCGTCATTCACGAGGCTCCGCCCACTCCACCGTAATGCAAGGATGAAGCGAAACACATATTCGCCACCAGGGGGCAGTTTTATGATTATGTTTTTAAATAAATAAATAAATAAATAAATATATATATATATATATATATATATATATATATATATATATATATATATATATATATATATATATATATATATATATATATATATATATATATATATATAAATATATATATATATATATATATATAAATAATATTATATATATATTAGGGTAAGGGTAATTAGGCAAGTTATTTTATAAAAATGATGACTTGTTCTGAAACTGTAGAAAAAATATATAGCTTAAAGGGGTTAATAATTTTGAACTTAAAACACTTAAAAAAAAACTGCTTTTATTCTAGTCGAAGACTTTCTCCAGAAGAAAAAATATTATCAGACATACTGTGAACATGTCCTTGCTCTGTTATGTAACATGCTGTAATTCTAGAATATTTACTGTTATTTTTAATATTCAGTAGCTTGTTATATAAAAACTATAACACTTTAAGATATATTTACAATTAACTAATTGCTAATTAACATGCTTATTAATAGCATATTGTCTATAAAATTTGTTGACACTGTTACAGGTGCACACACACAGAACCAGGATAGACTTTTGGGCCGTTCTATGTTGAGTTTGCATGTTGTTTCTGTTGGTTTCCTCCAGTTTCTTCTATAGTGCAAAAATTTGCAGTATAAGTGAATTTTGGATAAACTAAATTTGCTGTAGTTTGTGATTAAGATAATGTGTGGTGTTTCCCAGCACTGAGGATTGTCCCCTTAGGGCTGTGTTGCAGAAGCATTAGTATCTGATTGCAGACTTGCATATGCAAGCTGAGACACACAGTTTGACATGCAATGTCAGAAACAATGCACTCAACTAGAGGTAGTGACGTCAAAGTGAGGGGTAGGGTTAGGAGCGGGGTTAGGTGTGTGCATTAAAATTGGTCAGATTTATTTTTATTATTTTTTGTGTTCTGTAGAATAAGTAAATAAAACTGTGTTGTTTACAAAGATCAGCTTATTCACGAACACATTCATGTTATTCACATTCTACTGCTCAGTTCTCTGACATTTTTTCTATATAGTTATTTTATTCATAAACAAAACATTTATGTCTATTTATCATTCAAATTAAATAAAAAAGAACAATGTTGTATGTGGCATTTAATCAAAAAAATCATTATAAAAATGTAGAATTGCAAAAAATAACATCAAGAAAACAGCACTTTAATTCAGCATTATTAGATTATGAATTCATTTGTAAAATTGTTAATTAAAAAGTAGTACTAATAGCAAATTAAATCCACCCAGTAGGTGGCGGTAGGACACTGTCTTAATTCATTCAAATGGAGAAACTGAACAAAACATTAATGGATCAAAACATAATAAATGATGAAACTCATTGCATTTATAGACATTTATAGACATACCAGGTAATATGAAAAAAAAAGAATTTTACTCATGCTGGAACATTTACATATAACATATAAATTTATATTCATAGCAGCCTTAAAGTAAAAATAAATCCATTATTGAGGAAATAAACTGAATTAATATGTGATAAGGTTACAAACATATACTTTCCCGGATAAGCAATAGCTTATTCCTATTCTTAATAACCTAAAGAATCATTTTCAATCACAGAAAGTCTTATTTCGAACATCCAATGTTATTATTTTCAGAGAAGGTGTAGCGCTCTCACTGCCTGATGAGGGACAATAATGTTAATAAAACACAGGAAACACAGAACTGCTGATGCTTCACATCAGAGTCTGTGTATTGTTTGAAAGAAAAGCCCCTCCCACTCATTAGGTAAGCAGTCCACAGGCAGAAGTAGCCAATCGGAAAAATTTTCTATTTTCTACTTCATAAAACGAAAGTGTACAGACTTAGAAAGAAAAATTAACTTTGATTTTCAATTTCTAATAATTTGTAACCACTTCAAAGGCTCCCGTTAATTTAAAGTTAAACCGGAACTAAAAATACACAACATGCACTACACCCGATGTGTCACACACGGGCCACATCTGGCCCACATACAGCAGGCCACAACTCGCACTACACCCGGTGTGTCACACACGGGCCATATCTGGCCCACATACGGTAGGCCAGAACTCACATTACACCCGGTGTGTCACACACGGGCCATATCTGGCCCACATACGGCAGACCACAACTCACACTACACCCGGGGTGTCGCAAACGGGCCACATCTGGCCCACATACAGCAGGCCACAACTCACACTACACCCGGCGTGACACATACGGGCCACATCTGGCCCACATACAGCAGGCCACAACTCACACTACACCTGGCTTGACACATACGGGCCACATCTGGCCCACATACAACAGGCCACAACTCACACTACACCCGGGGTGTCACACACGGGCCACATCTGGCCCACATACAGCAGGCCACAACTCACACTACACCCGGTGTGACATATAAGGGCCACATCTGGCCCACATACAGCAGGCCACAACTCACACTACACCCGGCTTGACACATACGGGCCACATCTGGCCCACATACAACAGGCCACAACTCACACTACACCCGGGGTGTCACACACGGGCCACATCTGGCCCACATACAGCAGGCCACAACTCACACTACACCCGGTGTGACATATAAGGGCCACATCTGGCCCACATACAGCAGGCCACAACTCACACTACACCCGGTGTGACACATACGGGCCACACCTGGCCCATATGTCTCCTGCCATTGCCAGAAGTGAGCCATATGTGCCTTAGTTGGCCCAGATGTGGCCCAGAACTGTATGCTATCTGGGACGTACTTGATTGTTTTTGTTAAGTTACGTTTTGTCAAAGCTCTACAAAACATGGGGATCATGTTACTGCTGAGTCTATTCTTAATAGCTGGTAAGTTTTTGTTTATTTGTATAACTTTCGGTTTCGTTTTGAAAGTTTGATAATTAACTTATGCGTCAAATACATCGAAATTGACTGAAAAAATATGGATTAAAAACGAGTACCAACATAAGACTTTATACGTGTAGGTAAACGGACGTTTTGTAGCTCGTGGTTTATCGCACTTTAGCTGACAAAAACACATAGGCCTATTGTTCTTTAGCTGGCGTATTGTAGATAGATTGTAAATACTGTAGTATTTACTTTAAGTAGTAAGGTGTAGTATTTTTTCATGTGGAAATACTGTAGTGCAACTGTAATCTTAAAGTAAATTGAACAATTTTTCACCTTTTCAATCTGAGCAATAATCTCATAACTTTCTTTTCAGGAGCTCTCATAATTATGTTTGGTTGAATCTGTTTGCTTAAGTTTAAGTAATACACCGTTTCTGTTTATTTTCCAGGTGTGTCTGGTACAGAGATTGGTGCAGCTCAATTTATGTCACTGATGGAAGGAGATTCTGTTACTCTACAAACAAATCTTACTGAAATACTAAACGATGATACAATATTGTGGCTGTTTGGGCCCAACGAGACTATGTTTTGTCAAATAAAAAGAGTAAAAGATTTTACCTCACAATTTGTTACCGATGATGTGAAGTTCAGCAGCAGAGTGCAGGTGGATCAAAAAACTGGATCTATCACCATCAGAAACACTAGAATCAGACACTCAGGGCAATATAAGCTGAGGGTCTCTACTACAGAAAATACTATTACCAGGATATTTAATGTTACAGTCCTTGGTAAGTATCTCAAGTCTTTCATTTTTCTGACACATGACTGTGTGTAAGGGCCGGAACACACCAAGCTTCGTCGGTCTATCTGATATGGCTACATGTCCTAAATTTTTGCAAACTATATGGATTATTAGATTATCAGACATATTTGCAGGAGCAAATCCCTCTGTGGGGAGTGAAAATAACTGTGATGATGGCACTAAGTGCTGCATTGTTTATGCCTTGTCTACTTGCATCAGAAGTTTGATTTTCCTTTGCGAAAAAAAAAAAAAAAAACAGATACTAGCCCCATGGAGCAGAAAGACTAGTCCTCCTGTGCAGGTGCAGAACGCGACTCTAATTTAAGTAATCAATCCTCCATATGGTGTTTTCACCTTTTTGGTCCAAATGTGATCCAACCGAAATGATAACACAGTTGTGTTTTGTTTGTGTAGTTGTTTGGCACTAGCTTGGTGTGTCCTGGCCCTAAGCAGGGCTTTACAACAGGCTTTATAAGCAGGGGGCTTATATTGTAAAATATGTTTATATTGTAATTACATTTAGGTTTTTTTTCTCAGTTGTGGCTGGGAAGATGGATGGCGTAAAGTCAGTTTCAAAATTTGTAAAGGAAGGTGAGTCTGTCACGCTAGACACTGATGAAGAAATCCCGAAAGACGCCCTGATGCTGTGGAGGTTTGGAGATAATGCCGTTCTCCTTGCAAAAGTTGATGTTGAGACCAATCAGACCTCTTTAATTGAAGATGAGAGATTTAGAGGCAGATTGAAGGTGGATCAGATGGGATCTCTGACCATCCCAAACACTAAAACCACAGACTCTGGACTTTATGAACTACAGATCAGAGGCATTGAGCGTTTACATCGGTTTGTTGTTTCAGTCAGTGGTGAGTAACTCACTGTAATGACATTAGTAGCAGTTTAAATCTTCACTTTGACTGACATCTTTACTGTCTTTCTTTAGCTCATCCAGATCAAGGTCTTTCTTCGGGTGCTATTGCAGGAATAGTAATAATAAGTGTTTCTCTGCTGATTGTGGCTTTAGCTCTGATTTATCTGTGGAGGATGTTTAAATTAAAAAAGCAACAAGGTACGTAAATAGACAAGATTGATATATAAAATGTAAGATGATGTTGTAATATGCCTGTTAAGCCAGTAAATGGCATTTTTCCTACATAAATGTCTGGTATCTTCAATATATGTAAAACATATACTTAATTTACAAGTCCATATTTTGATTTCACAGATCTACAAATAAAAACACAGGTAACGTCATTATGTACAAATCGAGAGAATATTTTTCTAAATATTGCACATATGATCGTTTATCCAGTTTATACTTTAAAAGATTTCTGTTATGTCAAGTTTAAAAATATATATTTTTGCGTGGATTATTTTGAGATTTACTTACTTAGAAAATTTCAGCTAACAAAAGTAAAAAAAAAAAAACATCCAATAAGTTCTGCTAACTACAATGATGTACAAAAACTTTAGTTTTAGTTCACTAAAGTTAAGTGAACTTAAGTTTAGTTTACTAAACTTGTTGGTTTAGTTAGCTGAACTTTTCTAAATAACTAAACTTATAATGCAGTTAAGTTCATGCAAAAAAATATATTTTGCAGTGTACATGATTTTTTTTCCAACCATTTAAAACAGTGGTCACCAAACTTGTTCCTGCAGGGCCGGTGTCCAGCAGATTTTAGCTCCAACCCTAATCAAACACACCTGAACAAGCTAATCAAGGTCTTGCTAGGTATACTTGAAACATCCAGGCAGGTGTGTTGAGGCAAGTTGGAGCTAAACCCTGAAGGGTCACCGGCCCTCCAGGACCAGGATTGGTGACCCCTGATTTAAAACGACAAATAACATTAGACAACATTTTATTTGAATAAAAGTTCCTTTCATAAAAGTTATCCTTAAATACAAAATGTATATTGGGCAATATTACTATTTTTACAATAACATACACTATAAATATTCGTTCATTGAACAAGTGTATTTTATACACTTTAAATGTTGACTACTGTACACATAATATAATATAATTTAAAATAATATAATTTAATATAATGTAATACAATATAATATAATATAATGTAATGTAATATAATATAATATAATATAATATAATATAATATAATATAATATAATATAATTAATATAATATAACATAATATAATTAATATAATATAATGTTATATAATATAATATAATATAATATAATATAATATAATATAATATAATATAATATAATATAATATAATATAATATAATGTATTTCACATGTATATACAGTATTATCAGATTTCGGGAGCAAACATTTTGTTAAACACCAACGTTAAAATAAACAATTAGAATTTATGTATTTACATGGCACAGTGGTTAGCACTATTGCCTCACAGCAAGAAGGTCGCTGGTTCAAATCCTGGCTGGACCAGTTGGCATTTCTGTGTGGAGTTTGCATGTTCAGTTTAAAGTCATGTGCTATAAGTGAATTGGATAAACCAAAACTGCCTGTAGTGTTTGAGTGTGTGTGTGAATACAAGAAGGTATTGGTGTTTCCCAATACGGAGTTTCAGTTGGAAGTTGCATCAACTGTGTAAAACATATGCCGAAATAGTTGGCTGTGGCGACCCCTGATAAATAAGGGACTAAGCCAAAGGAAAATGAATGAATTTTAGACTAATTTTAAACAAGTCTATTTTGTTTAGGAATTCTTTTTAATAAATGTTTAAGAAGGTAACAAAACTAACAGCTAAAACTTAATATGTAAACACATAAAAATTATGAGAAATTTGAAAAAGCATTTATGAGGACATTCATAATAGAATGCATTTATTTGTAAAAACCCTTGAAGACACTTCCTAAAATTTACCAACCAGATGCCACAAGCTCTTAAAGACCAAAATTTCCATTTCCAAAATGGATAATATACATATTATCCATAATATACAAGTTGTGTAACAGATTTTCAGGCTGTTTCTTTCTCAGAAGACTTTAAATAAAACACCATAATGTACATTAATCAAGAGGTTGATCTGCTTATTCATGAACACATTTCTATTCTTGTTTTTTGTGTAGCTGTGACAGATGAAGAGCAAATATCAGTGAAGGAGGGAGATTCTGTCAAACTGCAAACTGGTCATACTGAGATAAATCAGAATGAGATGATAGAGTGGTGTTATGAAGTTGAACAAAATGTCATTGCTGATATAAAAGAAGGGACCAGGAAGACACATGATGGTGCTGATGGAAGATTCAGAAGTAAACTGAGCCTGAACGCCAATGATGATCTTACCATCAGTAACACCCGGACCATACATTCTGGACTCTATATTCTGAAGATCAGGACCAAAACAACCACTAAACCAATATACAAGAGATTCATTGTCACCATCAGTGGTCAGTATGTCAAGTCTTCCATTGCAATAATGTTTGCTATTTGAAATGAAGTTGCTTTGTGATCTTAATGTCATTGTGTTGTGAGATTGATTAAGCTCATACAGTTCTCCAGACTGTATGAAATCATCTGATCAAAAAAGTTTGTGTTTTGTTTTGTATGTATCGTCTTTGTGTCGCTGTGACATTCAGTGAATTCCAAGTCAGTAAAGGAGCGAGATACGGTTGTTCTCCAAATTAAAGAAGAAATACTGAGAGATGATCTGATTTTGTGGACTGTCGGAGCTGAAAACTGTCTTGCTGTTCGAGCCACATCAGGAAACACTAGTATTGGTGAGAGATTCAGAGACAGAGTGGAGCTGGATCATCAGACTGGATCTCTGACCATCAGAAACATCACAAAAGAAGACTCAGGACATTTTAAACTGCAGATCATCAACAGCGAGAAGACCAGATTCAGGAGAATCAATGTGAAAGTTACTGGTGAGCAAAACAACATTCAGATCTACTTCCATTTCTCGAGTTATGTGTTCAGAACATCAATTAAAGTGTACATTTAGCTGGTCATGGTAATAAAATAAAGCACAAAAAAAGTAAAAGTTTATGTTTGCAAACGTCTCTCATAGATATATTTGGTATAAAAATTAAAAAACTGTATATATATCTGTAAGTTTTATTTATTTTTTTCATTGATTTACTTTAGTTTCATAAAAAATGAAAGGAACAGAAATCGCTTTACTAATCATCTAACAAAATTTAATATTTCTTTATGAATTTTTTTGCGTTAGTGCTCACTCAAGAAAATATTACTATTATTTTAGCCAATGCTGTTTCACAGATAATCTTCTCTTTCTTGTGCTACATCTCATGCAACAAAAACAAATATGAATAATAGGTCTCAGTGTCCGGCTGTATTAGCTGTAAAATATTCAGGGAAAAATGCCAGTAGCAATTAACATTATCAAAGTATTTTCCAGTGTGCAGAGGCCATCTTTTTATATTTTTATTTTCTGTTATTTGCTACATGTTTAGAGATTGTGCAACTTTATTTATATTGTAATGAGTTGGGCACAACAGAGGTGTGGATCCACGAGCAGCTTTTTTAAACAGAAAAGGCAGGCAATGTTCAAAACAGGAGCATACAGGTAATCCAAAGCGTATAGTCAGAATAACGGGGAGAATAGTCAGGACAGGTAGTAAAACAAAATAAAACAATAAACAAAGCAAAGGTTAATAATACGGTAGGCAGGACAAGGAAACGCTATGAAATGCTCTGTTAAGGGGATCGCACACCGGATGCGCTGCTCGGCGACGCTCCACAATGCACCACACAGCACCATGGATTTTAGAATTCTGAACATGGATTTCTTTTTTTTAACAAGTGATTTTATTAGTTTTACATTTTTCAATAACTACCAAACAACACAACAACAATGGGAAAAAAACACTAAATAAATAGAAAGTAAATAATGAAAATAATAATAATTTATTATTTTTTTAAATGAAGTTATTAAAAAACAATTAGGGCATATAAACGGTTTCAATGAAAATTCAAAGAGGCAGTCAATAGGGGTAGTGAGCATCTAAACATAGATTTCTATCAGGGTACACTCCGGTGCTGCAAGTCGGCAGCTGTCTGTCCAGCTACTAACCAGGACACTGTTCATATTTCTGCCATGCCACAGAGTCCCATCTGAATGGTTTCATATTAAATAACATGTGAATGTGCTTGTCTGGTGTGCAATACTTCCAACTATCATGTGCATACTGTGTTGCGGTGCTGAGCAGCATCCAGTGTGTGACCTGCTTTAAAGATAAGAAGGTGTCAGCCAAGAATGTGTTAATAAGATGTCTTTATAGTCCTAGTTTTCAGTCTATCACGAGCTTCCAGTTGTGTGTGTGTAAACAGGGGGAATCAGGAACTGGTGTGTGTGAGTTGCATGATGGGAGTTGCAGTTCATTAAAGTGGTATATGTGCAGTGATCGTGACACATATGCTAATGTATTTTTTGCTAAATAGTTTTTTGAGCTTTTAAGTATTTTCTAATAGTCTCTGTGTTTTCTTTTAGCTTCTACAGGAGTTGGATCAACAACTGTATTGACACCGCTGCTAGATGGAGATGTTCCTGATGGAGAGAATGAGCAGCAGACAAGTTCAGTTTAATAAGATAAGACACCCCACCAGTGTCAATCACAATGATATTATTAACACCTGACCTCAGCAACAAACCTTTCTGAAAGTATGAAATGGAATGCTGGAAAAACAAAACATCCTGCAACATTCTGGGAAGGTTAGTGTTTGGCTTCCCGAACATTTACTTTGTTCCCCAAAAATTAACCAAATGGCAACCAAAACTGGAACTGTATAGTTACTTTAGATCAGAGATGCCCAAACTAGGGCATGTGACCTGTTGATATGGCCCACCAAGACATTTGAGAAAAGAGGGAAAATGGCCAATTATCTTTGACAGAGATCGTCATTTCGGAATTTAATGTAACATTTTGTTTGTGTGCCTTGTAATTTTGTTTTGTTTTGTAAATGAATCAGATTTTTAAAAATGTAAATACAGTACTGTCACTTGACTAATAGAATGCATAAGACATCAGCAAACAAATCAAGGCAAAGGCAGGTGTAGCTTAGTGTATTCAGCATTAAACTCTATTGTGGTATTAAAGGGATTGTTTATGTTTCTACTGTAATAAGTTCATTATTATTTTTTAAAATACACTGCATTAGTTCCAACACGGTGGCTCAGTGGTTAGTACTGTCGCCTCACAGCAAGAAGGTCGCTGTTTCAGTTGGCATTTCTGTGTGGAGTTTGTATGTTCTCCCTGTGTTGGCGTGGGTTTCCTCCCGGTGCTACGGTTTCCCCCACAGTCCAAAGACATGTGCTATAGGTGAACTGAATAAACTAAATTGTTTGTAGTGTATGTGTGTGTTTAAGTGTGTATTGGTGTTTCCCAGTACTGGGTTGCAGCTGGTAGGGTATCTGCTGTGAAAAACATATGCTGGATAAGTTGGTGGTCCATTCCGCTGTGGTGATCCTTGATGAATAAAGGAACTTAGCCTAAGGAAATTGAATAAATGAAGGAATGAATGACTGCGTTAGTTAATATAATTTAAAGCAATGTTTTGTAGTTATTTGTAATTATTTAAATATTAGAAAATTACTCATGGAAACTTTAGTTTACTACATTGAGGGCACACAGCCTTCAATCAAGTTTGGTTTTTGGCCCGTCATAAGAAAGGTTTGGGGAGGCCTGTTTTAGATTAAGGCTATGTGTTTGCTCCATCACCACTAATATCACTAAAGAGGATGAATTCATAACAGATTAAATAACAGCAGTGCCAAGCCAACCACACTTAGGACATGTGACACCTAAACATTCATTTATTCATTTTCATTCAGCTTAGTCCCTGATTATCAGGGGTTGCCACAATATTAAAAAAGGAATCCAAAAATAGTGTTTCTGCCGCAATTAAAGAATTTTATCTACAAGGAATAATTCAGCGATCAGTCCAAATATAGTATTTTTTTTTGTGTCCTCATTTTCAGTGTTAATTCTTGGTAGCCTATTTGGGCTTTTTTTGACATCAAATGTTTACAGAGCAATTGTAAATGTGAAATGTTGAACAATGTTACCACTTACGTCTTTGTACAAATTGACTAAATATTTTCCATTTTATACACTGCATATTTTGTCTCGCTCTCTGTTCATGTGTATTGTAAGAGCCATTATGTTTGTTGTAATGCTTGTTATGTTTGTAACATTTTTTGACCGTGTTTGAAAGAGCTTTATGGAGGCATTCAATGTGATTTTATGAGCATTTATATACCAGACTGTAAGTGGAAATTGAGCCATAAGAACTGTCTGTGCAAAAAATAAATCTGATAAGCAGTATTTGGAAGATGATTCGTTTGTTGAGATCTCACGCGTCAGAAACAACCCTACAACACCTCAAGTGACAAAATGGTCATTTGTGTCACTACATGTATATTTCAGTGTTGTTCTGTTAACAAGACTGTTGATTGTTTCTTTCCTGCTATTTTGTGAAATAATTCCGTTGCTTAAGTAAGAAATATTTTACAACTGACCACTGGATTATTAAAATAAATAATGCACACCTGAGTTCTCATTTATAAAGCTTGCGTAAGCTCACATTTGATCTTACACCATGTTCTAACAACACACGATGCCAGGACACATAATAAAAGCTATCTTTTCCATGTTAAAAGGAGCTTTTGTCCTAGCCATCTGCAACAATTTTAGAAATGCGTTGCAGCTGAACAACAACACAGTTTACTTAGACAATGATCACCTCGGGTACAGAATGTGCTTTAATTTGTGTTAAATGCTAGCAATGTGAGTTTAAACATCACTTTCCGTGACATTAATTGCCATACTGAACGCAGCAGCAGATTGAGTTTACCTCAGATCTAAAAAATTAAATAATCAGCAGAAGGTGAAAAATGAATGTCAGAACTGTGACTCAGTGCAAACCAACAAAATCCCAGCAGGTGTGACCGGTCCTCGCTTTACTCTGCGTTGTGTTGTGATTAGGCGAAAGGAACCAGTCATATGGGAATTAACAGGCTTTTATTCTGTATGAATAAAGCAAACAAATGGCAAAGCTGAGTATATGTGCCTTCCTTAGGAGCTCACCAACCTCTCCTCAATCGCGTTTGCCGCGAACTCACATAAATAAAGTTGAAGTGTGTAACATACACCAAAAAAAAAGAAACATTATACATAAATTCAAAAACATAACAGAAGCATAAACACATATGTAAACACATACCTGCATGAATAAAGCAAACAAATGGCAAAGCTGAGTATATGTGCCTTCCTTAGGAGCTCACCAAATATTAGTGAAAGGGATAATTCTCACTACAAAGCTTGCACATTCATGCTTATAAACTTTACCCACAATACATGCCTCATATACATTCAACCTCTCATACATGTTTAAACATCAATGTAATGCAATTTAGAACACCATTACATGTGTTATTATGATAAACAACACTTATATGCTATATTTTAACCGGAGCTTCAGTAAAACTCACCTCTCCTCAATCGCGTTTGCCGCGAACTGAGTGAGAGCAGGCGGAACCGGAAAACGACACTTAAAGGGGCCACGCGCAATTTTCCAAAATACACCAACACATTGAAAACAAACACAACTATGATTTCATTAACTCTGAAATATAAGATATATAAAGAACAACTTTGAAAATACACAATTAAATAAAAATAATTGATGAATAACAAGGAGAATTTTGAGTGAAATTAATAAAAATAATATAACACCTGTTACACAGGCATACATCTTTAGGTTAGATTTAGGTCTTGATGCCGGGTGACCAAAATTCAATGTTGTGTTGGAAAGTGACCAAAACCCAACCTTGAGCCAACATTTTAAACCAACGTCATATTGATGTCAAATACTGACATTTATTCAACCAAAATCCAGCGTCTTATAGACATCATAGTGGTAACGTCCACACAACGTCATGCTGTGAAATCATTAGACGTTGATATTTGACTGTTTTTAGGTTATGTTGGAAAGTGACCAAAATCCAACGTCTGTCCGACACTGACATCAGTCTGACGATGGCTTATGACGCCATTTTGGTTTTCATTTCCACCCAAAATGCAGCTTCCCACAACGTTGAGGTTCAATTTCAATCTGATGTCATGCTGACATCCTGTGCCTGCTGGGATCATTCACTCAGTAGCCTAATAATAAAAATGTTAAAGACTTTTAATATGTATTGAGTAGATTAAAAGCCTTTACCATTTTATTAGGAGTGCAGTGGCTGGTCGCGTTTGGTGCAGACAGACTTATTGCTTGTCGCTGGAATCTTGTCACATCACGTGTTGTTAGGACACTGCATTAGAGTGTATGTACGCTTAAATCCACGACAACATTCATATTTATAAAATTTTATAAAAATCACATTTATAAAAATGTATCTTTAATGTGGAAAAAAGTGCTCACCGTAGCAGATGTTTATTTATTTTGGACTTATTTTTATTTTGATTATATATTTATTGTGGGATTTACGCATTAGTTACATCGCTAAGTCTCCTAAACAAAAGAAAAACAAACAAACATGGAATAAACTGTATACTAGTACTCTCAAAAATAGTATCGCAAAAATGCAGTTTTCACTGACTTTCACTTCTCTATAATTTAATAAACAACTTTGCCTGCTTTAAGGATTTGTGATTTCTCTTCATTAATGATGTAATAAATTTAATGAGGTCAGATTAAATATAATGGCGTCAGATAAATAATTGATTTAAACACTCCATCCTTCAGCAGCTTTGTTTTCATTATTGGTTAAGAATAGCAGTGTAAGCTTCCAGCCTTACATAACACTACACAATTGATCTCTCATACTGCAGCTTTGTTGTTTATGATGAGTTTGGTGCACGTACAACACTTAGATGTTTAAATAGCTGCAGTACAATGACTGTGCCACAAGAAAAAGTGTGCAAACCTTCTTGGATCTTGAAGGGGCTTTAAGTACTTTAACATGTTAAAGACAAATACCAACGTTGCTGTGGATTTAAGCATACACACACTCCAAGATCAGATTTGAGCTTACACACTTTATAAATGAAGCCCCTGAAGTGAGGATGTAGCTAAGGCACAAAACAGACCTCATGTGTGCATTATTTTCAAATAATTAAATAAACCAGAGTCAGTTACTTATATAATGTATACAGTTCACTCAGCTGAAGCCACTGTTCAGATGTTGTAAGACATTTGTCAGATTTTTGTCCTCAAACTTTTGCTGTGTGTAGGAGGTTTCTTACACGTCAACCAAAGGCTTCTTGTGCTTTGACTGATTTTTGACTGCTGTAGCTGTGAAATAACTGAATTCATTCAGCGTAGTAATATGGAACTGTAATGCATTCAAAACCCGCTGAAACTACTTTGCATGTTTATCTGAAAATAACTTTCTTATGCTCTTGATTTTTTTGAAAGAAAAAAAAATTATTATGATAAAATGTGCAGATTACTTTTGCAAAAAAAAAAAAAAAGTCTTTATAAATGCATTAAAAAGTTTTAACATACAGGTTCATGTTCTGTCATCAATTGGTGCTCCAGCAATGAGTTTAGGACTGTCTGATGAAAACAAAATTGTCCTTTTGCAGTTCACCAACCGCTTCAGAGCAGAATTAAGATTAATGAATTATGACAGGTCAATGTGAACAAAAAAAAATTAACATGATCTTCCAGACTAGACTGATAGACATATACAGCAGATCCTATTGAAATCTGATATATGGCAATATATGCAAATCAAGTTCACATACAGTTGAAGTCAGAATTATTAGCCCCCCTTTGAAATTTATTTTATTTTTTATATTTCCCAAATGATGTTTAAAAGAGCAAGGACATTTTCACAGTATGTCTGATAATATTTTTGTTTTCTGGAGAAAGTCTCATTTTTGTTTTATTTAGCCTACACTGTTAGACATTTCTGTAATTTGCTCAGTTATTTACTGTATTTCACCCAGTACAATACTGCAAATTCTTTTTACAGTAAATAACTGGATTTACTGTAGCATTATGGGAACAATATATACAGTGATTTACTGTATTTGTAAAAATTCGTGTATTTTACATATTTTCCACAACGCCACCTTGCGGCGATTC